CACTCTCTAGCCCTTTGAACAAACTGCCTTCAGCTACAGACAAATATTTCAAATTTTGACACATCAGTCCAGAGAACCTGCTGCCATTGTAGTCTTTGGACCTTTAAAGGATTCAGGACAGGTAGAAGCACTAGTAAAGGCTGCAGACTGATCTTCCAGTTTCAAAGTGGTGCAACACTGCATCAATAACAGCCAAAATTGTCTATCTAAGCCTGGGAGTAATGGCAGCTGCCTGTGACTCCTCTGGGGCACCATCATACTTTAGGATTTTTGAGACTCGGCATCAGATGGAGCCTGTGTGTCAGAAGGCTCAGAGGCCACAGGCAGATTATATACTGATTCTGTAGGGGAATGTGTGGTGGGACGATAACAACCTTTGCAGTCAGCAACCAAGGTTGCCATTTGGACAATAAAAACCTACATAAAGTGGTGAAATCCTTCGAGGATAAAATCAAGGAGGGGACTAAGCCTGATGGAGTCTGAAGGAAGATTCCAAGGACTCAAGCAGAGGGGAAAATTTTAGGCTATTTAGTGTCAGGCCCTCTAGCTGGTACACCAGGCTGGGGACCTGCTGCTACAGGACACTGAATGCTCTCCCTTGAATAGCAGCAATATTGGTAACTTATATACCAATGCCGCTTACTGCAATCAATGTGATTATCGGCCATAATAAAATCAGCAAACCACCAGTGTCTAATTTCCTGAAGGCAGCGGCATAACCCATGGTTCGAGAATACCATCCTGTGTCCTACAATGTACTGTGTGGAAATAGGTGTAATAGCGCCCAACAGTCTTATTAACCACCTCCGTGCCGACCGTAGTAAAAAAACGGCCGGCCGGAGCGCTCTAAATCTGAGCGGACGTCTTTAGACGTCTTCTCAGACACGCCCCCTCGCGCGCACCGCTGGGCGCGCGCGAGCGGGAAATGACCGCAATTTAAAAACAGACAGCGGTGCCTGTTAACATACAAGCGATCCGCCGGCTGTAGAGCCGGCGGATCGCTTGTATTTTGCAACGATTGGTGCGGCCCCCCCCCCCTCCGCTGCCCCCC